TAAATTAAGAAATAAATCTCTCCGGCCAACGGACTGGGTAAAAAACTAGTATATTAAATATAGGCTGAATTACACATTTGGTCACTCGAATTACATAAACATTTCACGTTTGCCACCCGAATTAATTTCCTTTCAATCTAACCACTCACTTTATGAAACGTTTCACCGTTGGTCACCCTCCGTCAGACTCCGTTAACGCCGTCAGATTTTTGATGACGTGGCAAACGAAAGTGCTGACTGGGCTGACAGAGAGGCTAAAAAAGACGGCACTAGGGTGCTGAAGTGGAATGGGAGGGAAAAATAACCCTTTTCCCCCATTTTCAAATACTTTTTACCTTTTTGGGAGGGAAAAAAACTCTTACCCACTATTAAAACCCTTCTCACCTCATTTTTTTTCTCTTTCTCATCCATCCAAATTCCAGACAACTCCGAGCCTCTTCTGCTCTTCATCTTCTCCATCTTCCTTATTCTTCCACTTTCCTTATTCTTCCTTCTCCATCTTCTTCCTTCTCCTCTGCAACAACTTGTGATCTCTGGATGTTACCGATCTAAACCATGACTAACCCATATTGTCACTGTGGGAATCCAACAAGTTTGAGGACAAGTTGGACCGATGCAAATCCAGGGCGGAGGTTCTATGGATGTGGCAAGTTTGGGGTAAGACCATTTCAATCTCACTTCCTTTCGTGCTTTATGTATCTTCTGTTTGGGTTTAGGTTCTGACCATTCCCCTCATTGTGCTTTCTGTAGACGAATGGAGCATGCAATTATTTCAGATGGTATGAACCAGCCCTTGATGAGCATATGCGAAACGTTGTGCTCAGCCTCCATCGTCGAATTCGAGATCTAGAGAGAAGGGAACCAAGGAGAGCTTACAAAATAACTGTCAAAATGGCTTGCATCTTCACTGTAATGGTCATTGTATTTGGTTTCATCTTGTTGGGAAAATAAGAAAATGTTGTTTCACTTGTATCACTAGAATGTTGTTTATGTTTCATCTGTACCACCGGAATGTTATTTATTTTTCACGGAAGCCACTACGGATTTTTTTATATTTCATCTGTATCACTATGATTTTGATTGCATTTCATGAATGCCACTGCCTTGCTGGTTTTCTTTCGTTTGTATCACTATGATATTTTCCCTTTGATATGTAACACCTTGTATAGAACAGAACAATACATAACATAAATGCAACCATAACCTGCTGAACATGAATTTAACCAAAACCCAAGAACTTTACTTAACACCTGGAACTGTTTTACAGCAGCCATTAACTACCATTGCTGGTCCCCCTAAAGTTCAACAATCTGTTCAACATACGATTACAAGACAGCCATTCTGCTTATCCTAACCAAGCACTACAATATACATGAATGACTTCAAAATAGTCAACAAAACAGCCATTCTGCTTGTCCTCCTAACCAAGCACTACAATAGACATGAATGGCTTCAAAATTATACACCCTACTCTTCACAGATTGCTCCTATGTGAGTCTTGGCTTGGTTGCTGGGACACTTGACTTGCTGGCCTTTGGGAACTTCCCTGCAAAGTTAAATTACATCAGTAGGCTTATAAAAAAATATTGAATATGAGAAATGGAAAACAGAAGACAAAAGAATAAACTTATACATCTGCCATCACTTGACTTGATGCTTGTTTGGCAGCCTTAGCTTGCAACTTCTTCAATGCCGCTAGCCTGTTTCTTTCTGCCCTTTCAAGCTGTTTCCTTCTCTGTATATCTTCCTTTTCCTTCTGTTTTGCTTCTGCCCTCTTTTTCTTTGCCAACTCCTTTGCTTCTCGGTTTTGATGAAATGTCTTGTTGTGCCCAACTTCTCCGCAATCAGTACACTTATACTTCTTCTTTACTGGTTTTGCAACTTCTCTTTCAGGATCCTTTTGCCTCTTCTTACCAGAATCTTTTTCACCAGCTTCCTTTCTTCTAGCTTTCTTTGGCCTTCCTCTCTTAATAGAGTCACGAAGTGGAGGAACTCCAACGTCACCAAGTTGAGACAAAGGCCAATACTCTCTACCAGCAGTTGGTGATATGGAGTTCTCATAAATTCTTATGCACGAGTCCTTGAAGTAACAACCAGCCACAAAGTCGTATACCTTAAGCTTTGCCTTACGAATTGCTTGAATGGCATGCTCGCAAGGGATTCCAGTCAGATCCCACCTTCTGCAAGTACAATTCTTTTTTTTCAAGTTAACAACAACTTGCTGATTTTGCCACCTCACCTCAAACTCCCCGTTGCCGTTTGATTCAGCAGACCACTTAAGGGCTTCTTATCCTAGTTTTCGCAAATTCTTCTCAATGTTTTTACACAAAGGACCAGCCCACTTGTTGGCTATGCGTCGTGTTTTGGCATATAGCACCATCAGCCTCCTCCTAATCCCTTCCCACATGCCAACAGGACCCATATCCCTCTCATCGACGATGACATTATTCCAGCTCTCAACCAGGTTGTTCGTGTCCATATCTGTTAAAACGAGACACTGAAAATGCGACCTGGACCAATGGTAGTATGGCTTGTCAACAAGCCAATCATAAGAGGGCTTGTTGTAATCCGACAGGCTTCTCATAGCAACTTGAAATTCAGAGACAGTGGTGACTCGAGCTGCTTCCCAGAATAGCTCCTTAACCCTCGCTGATGATCCACATGCAGCACTTAGATTGGTCACAAGATGCCTGGTACAATGACGCTTCTCACTAGAGGGAAACACCTCATCTAGTGCTGGCATTAGACCCTTCAGAATGAAAATTACAGCAAAGGTTAACACCAATGTTTATTTTACAGCAGCTTGTCAACAAAAAAAAAAAATTTACAGCAGCAGCAAATAAATTTAAGGCAGCAAGAATGAGTAAAAAATGCACCTTTTGCTTGTCAGAAATGAATGTCCATCCAGGATTATCATTAATATGCAAATCGGTTCCCAAAAGCTCCAGGAACCAAAGCCAATTATCCTTGTTCTCCAGGAACCATTAGCTGCTCCGGCCATTTCCAATAAGTCTTCATCTTTGGTAATCTCTGTCATTGATTCATCAAGGGGAGCTTTCCAATAAAACTTTGGTTTCAGAATCTTCCCACCACACTCCTTGTAGATGTCTACCAAGTCCAGAATGGAGAGCAGATCGATATCAGCGTGGTCATAGTACACAATAGTCTCATCCTGCATAAAATGCTTCCCTCTCTTCTTTTTGATTTGATAATCAACATGAACTTCAAAGCTGAATTCTCCACTACAATCACCTATTTATTTGAAAAAGAAAAGGAAAAAGGTCAGAAAAAAGAATCATGCCTCCAAGCAGTAGTATGTACTAGCAATAAAGGCCATCCACCAGCATGTTAACTACCTATGTTCACCATAAAGACCAACTGACAATGGACTAAAGACAAAAGAAATCATTTTCTAATGAAATAGCATACACTATGTTGTTGTCAACCTAATAAACAACTACTATACACACGTTTTTTGGCATAAAGATGAGAAAGTGACTACACTTACGATATTTAGGGATGGGAGCATCTGGTTGCCGCACATGTCCACCCATATTGCTCGCCAAACGTGACAAACAACCTGGAAAACGACAGCAAAATCCCCACAGTCAAGAACTTTTATCATTTTCTAACTTTTCCCCTTTCAACACTTCGCATGACTATCATAAAAAGGGCCAAAAACAGCAAGTACCTTTGTGTCTGCCCCAAAAGCACCTTTGCGTCTTGCCGAGCAACCACCACAAAGCGAATCAGAAGGTAAGGTTAAGGGTTTCTGTCGATTTCATATTGGGAAATTTTTAGGGTTTCAGTAAAACAAATTGGGTACGATAAGAAGAGTAAAGGAAGAAAGGAACGAAAAGGATGGAGAAGGTTAAAATTCAAAACGTACATCTTCAAGCCTCTGGGGTCGTTGTCATTGCAGATGAAGTAGAAGTCATCGGCGGCAGCGGTTGGGAGTAGCAGCGTTGACCGCGGGGAATGAGAGAGAGAGAGAGCAGGGGAATCGGCGGTGGCTATGAGAGAGAGATTCTCGCTGGCCGCGTGAGGAGGGGAATCGGGGAATCGGGGAATCGTCGTCGTGGCTGCTGCACCGCCGCCCGATCGAGCGCCGCGCCTCCACTGCGCCGGTGCGCCGGCCTTACCTCCACCTCCCCTGGCAGGAAACGCCCTTTCTCTGGCCTAGTCGGACCTGTCCGACCGGCGTCTCCCCTTCTCCCCTGATCGAGATCGAAGTCGCCTCCTCGGAAGAAAAACACAGAGAAGAGGAGAAGAGAATGCGAAGAGATACGAAGAAGAAGAGAAGTGAAAAAAACCCCTTCCTTTTACTGCACGGTCGTTTTCAGTTTTCACACTAAAAGTAAAGTTTTTTTTTTCCGGTCCAAAAAGCAAAGCTTTTTTCAATAAAAATAAAAGAAAAATGAAATACAAAAAAAATGGGTCAATTAAATTGCTGGGTCAGGTATGTGGCTGACTAGGCAGTCAAAGCCGTCTTTTTTAGCCTCTCTGTCAGCCCAGTCAGCACTTCCGTTTGCCACGTCATCAAAAATCTGACGGCGTTAACGGAGTCTGACGGAGACTGATGGAGGGTGACCAACGCTGAAACGTTTCGTAAAGTGAGTGGTTAGATTGAAAGGAAATTAATTTGGGTGGCAAACGTGAAATGTTTATGTAATTCGAGTGACCAAATGTGTAATTCAGCCATTAAATATATTTAAACCTACTTAAACGGTTGAACTCAATCCTACTATTTAACCTCAAACAAACAATGGCTTGACAACTATGGTCCACGCCGATTAAATCACAAAATATTACCACCGTCGGATTGAAGCTTCTAGCATCAACGCCTGGAATTAGTTTAGTAGTATCACTAAGCCCCGAATCTTTTCCCATTTCAAGCTAGCGCTACTCCGCTGGAGCCCAGGGTTTGTCTCAAATCGGCGGCGAGACTACCTCCAGCTTCTAAACCCCGTCCGCCGTCGCTTGATCTTCTCACTTTTGGTGCGATCACAGCTTCCCAGAAGCGCAGGATCAGCAATAATGAAGTTCCAGATAGAGGAGGTGACAGTCTACTTCCCGTATGACAACATCTACCCAGAGCAATACACGTACATGGTGGAGCTGAAGCGAGCCCTAGATGCGAAGGGCCATTGCCTCCTGGAAATGCCTACAGGGACGGGGAAGACCATTGCACTTCTTTCTCTAATCACGAGCTACGCTCTGGCTAAGACTGAGAGCCCAATCAAGCTAATCTACTGCACGCGGACGGTGCACGAGATGGAGAAAACCCTCGCCGAGTTGAAGTTCTTGCATAATTACCAGGTTAAGCATCTAGGGGCGGCTGCAAAGATGTTGGCGATCGGCTTGTCGTCGAGGAAGAATCTTTGTGTCAATCCGACGGTTTCGTCTGCTGAGAATCGGGATTCCGTCGATGCTGCTTGTAGGAAGCTGACGGCGAGTTGGGTTCGATCTATGGCCGCTGAAAATCCAAATCAGCCGACCTGTGAGTTCTATGAGAACTATGATAGAGCAGCGGGTGGTGCCGTGTTGCCTGCAGGAGTGTATACGTTAGAGGTACTCCGACTTCGATCTCTTCTTTGGAAAATTAAGATGAATATCATCTACGGTAGTCTTAATCATTGAGCTGAAGTTTGTAGAAGAATTTAGTTGCCACCTAATACATTATGGTCACTGAGGTAGAAAAGAATCTTTCTATCATTTGCAGCATTTGTAATTCATCACTCGTTTGTTTGTTGTTTTTAAATGATTCACGCCTTTGTCTGTCATTCTGCGGCCTTTTCATTTTCCTGTAATGAATGTAGGATCTAAGAGCTTTTGGGAAAGAGAAAGGCTGGTGCCCGTACTTCTTGGCAAGGCATATGGTTCAGTTTGCAAATGTGGTGGTTTATAGCTATCAGTACCTGCTTGACCCAAAGGTGGCAGGGATTATATCCAAAGAAATGCAAAAGGAGTCCGTGGTTGTATTTGATGAGGCACATAACATAGACAATGTCTGCATTGAAGCACTCAGCGTGAGCGTCAGAAGGCAGACCCTCGAAGGAGCTATAAGAAATATTTCTAGGATAGAGAACGAGATTGACAGGTATGACTAATTGTACCATTCATACAGTGTTTCATCATGGAACATGCTTGCACCATGGTGGCCTACTGGCCTTGTACCAGAAACACAAGTTTTCATTATGGAAATGCGAGGGTAGGTTTATGTTGTTTAAATGCCTCATTCTGTTCTGCAGGAATGATTCGATTGGGTCAATAGGAAGGCTATCTATTTGTTTATGTTGTTCTTTTCCCTTTAGTTTGTTAGCTTAACAAGTTCCGAGACTTAAATTTTTGATTTGATTGTATGACTGGTAGGAAGGTTCAAGGACATTGATGCTGGTAGGTTGCGGGCTGAATACAACCGTCTTGTTGAGGGTTTGGCACTAAGAGGTGACCTATCTGGTATGTTGAGTAATTAAAGGATATTGCTCAATTTCATTGCATCTCTCTTTTTCTGTCTATCAGTTTCATATGGGTTTATGGCTTTTCTGCAGCCTCTGATGCTTGGCTTGCCAACCCTGCATTGCCTGATGATATTTTAAGGCAAGCAGTTCCTGGGAATATTCGTCGAGCAGAGCATTTTCTGCATGTCTTGCGTAGATTGGTCCAGTATCTGAAAGTAAAGTTGGATACAGATAAAGTTGAAAAAGAAAGTCCCGTTAGCTTTGTAGCCTCTATCAATTCCGATGCTGGAATCGATCAAAAAGCGCTAAAGTTTTGCTATGATCGCTTACATTCCCTTCTAATGACATTGGAAATAACCGATACAGATGAATTCCTCCACATCCAAACAATATGCGACTTTGCAACCCTTGTTGGGACCTATGCCCGTGGATTTTCCATAATAATTGAGCCTTTTGATGAGAGAATGCCACTGATTCCTGATCCTGTATTGCAGGTCTCCTCTCTCTCTCTCTCTCTCTCTCTCCCCCCTGTGCATGTTATGTGTTTGTATTTGCCGTGAAGCTTTCTTATTTGCAGCACAGACATGCACTATAGTCAAGTGCACAACTAATTTATTCTGCTTGTTTTTGGCTTTTGATACCTTTTCAAAGAGATAAATTAGGTGGAAATAATATATGTTATTGAATTCCAGACTGTGTTATTGTCTTTTCTTTTATATACATGGTCAGTATTTCTGAGGCTAGCTTAGCCTCATCAGTTAGTTTCGGTGCTTCTTGATTATCTGTTCCTTACTCTCAACGATTTATTCTTTGCTAAAGCATCTTGTCAATTTCGTGTTCTCTGATCTTGCTCCAGCTGTGCTGTCATGATGCTTCACTTGCTATCAAGCCTGTTTTTGACCGGTTCCAGTCAGTTGTGATAACTTCTGGAACTCTTAGCCCAATTGATCTATACCCCCGACTCCTCAACTTCCATCCAGTCGTCAGCCGTAGCTTTAAAATGTCCTTAACTAGAGATTGCATCTGCCCGATGGTTCTCACTCGTGGAAGGTAAAAGTTTAAATATATCAGTCCTTCTTGACATCACCCATAACATTTCAGCAATATATATGTTCTGTGCTTGAGGTTGAAGAAGTGGATAATATGGTTGGATTTTTTGGGTTTATCTTGTAATGGCAGTGATCAACTTCCAGTTAGTACCAAGTTTGACATGAGAAGTGATCCGGGTGTTGTAAGGAATTATGGCAAGCTCTTGGTGGAGATGGTCTCTATTGTTCCAGATGGAATTGTTTGTTTCTTCGTCAGTTACTCGTACATGGATGGAATTATCAACAGTTGGAACGAGAGTGGAATTCTGAAGGTGAAATACTAGTTTTGCTATTATATCATGGGGTTGCACGACAACATCTGCTTACCTTTCTTTATATATATTTTTGTCTACAATCAGTATCCTTAGGCTTCAACATGTTGAATCAAGTTTCCTCTCCTAAAAAATTATGCATTCATCAGTTTCCTAGCATCCAATCTGATACTGGGTTCATTGCAGGACATAATGCAGCATAAGCTTGTATTTATTGAGACTCAGGATGTTGTGGAAACCACATTGGCTCTTGACAACTACCGAAGGGCTTGTGATTGTGGTAGAGGTGCTGTCTTTTTCTCAGTTGCCAGGTATGATTTGGCTCCATATTAAGCTTCTGATGTTGGATGGCTGGTACCAAAGATGTGATGGTTATTAAGGTTTCTCAGTTAGTTACTGGAATTTATAATTCTTTTAGATGGATGCAAGTCTGGGAGTTGTAGGGAATGCAAGCCAGAGGGGATGAGTTATGAATGCAGTGATCAATTGTCAGCAGTATTAATGTTTTGACTGCCTGAATGAGTGCAGGAGCTAGAGTGGGGGTGGTTAGTTTATTGTAATTTGAAACTGTAGTTTTTCGAGATCCAGGTCTGTTCTCATGTGATGACAATTTATGTGCAGGGGAAAAGTAGCCGAGGGAATTGATTTTGATCGACATTATGGCAGACTAGTAATCATGTTTGGTGTTCCTTTCCAGTACACAGAAAGCAAGTAAGTGTGACCTGACCTTGTCAGTCGCAGTTCTTTTGGTTCCGGATTTCTCATGTGAATTGCTCTTTAGTTTTGACTGCTAGTACATGTCGGATTTTACTAAATAATTTAGTAACAATGCCAATGAGCATCAAGGTATTCTGAATATGGTTCATTTTCAAGTATCTTTAATATCAGCTACCTGTACGGTTAAATTAACGTATTTAGAAACCTCTCTCAGTTTTTTAGTTTTCTTAGATTTTTTTTTTTGTTGAGCTAGGAAGATCTGCGTGCTTGCATATTAGTTGCCTTGTGTACTCGACTGTTCTTTAGCAAGCAATGTACCGTTTTTTAAGTGTTTTGACCATTTTCCTGCAGAATATTACGTGCACGGTTGGAGTATCTGAGGGATACATTTCAAATAAAGGAAGGCGATTTCCTGACATTTGATGCCTTGGTATTTGACTCTTTACTTTTTATTCTGTATCTAAGTAATTTCTCATTTGGTGGATTGTTATGGTTCATCTCTGGCATAGATAGATGTAATGAATATAAAACTAACAGATAGAAATCTGAATCAGAGACAAGCTGCACAATGTGTCGGCCGTGTGATCCGTTCAAAGGCTGATTACGGAATGATGATCTTTGCTGACAAAAGGTACATATTTCAAAGTTTACTCTTTTTCATCTCCGCCTTCTGCACACAAGTGGAAGTGCCTTCTTCCTGTATAGTTAGAGCTTGAGATTTGGGTGACGGTTAGATGACCATGTTGTGACTTATTGATGTTGAGCAAGGAATTAAGTTGAGTGAAATGGTAGTAAGTCGTGGTGATGCTAAATGATTCGACTATTGAGGGTGGTTTTCTGAAAAATAATGGTTCTTTTGAACCGTTAACCTCACCAGTAATATGGTAGTCTTGACCAAACCAATCCTGATCTTGTGCTACTATTTTTGTTTGAGTCGCATACTCAAATAGTTCGACCTACTCTGCTGCGAGAACTGAGCTGAAGCACCCTATATGACCCGCATCTTACATGCGGTAGCATCTGGCATGCCTGCCCCATTGCCTTTTGGTGCTTAATTCCTTTTGTCTCTACATTTTTTGACCCCTCAGATATAGTCGTCACGACAAGCGGTCTAAGCTGCCTGGGTGGATACTATCACATTTGCGCGACGCAAACCTTAACTTGAGCACAGACATGGCCTTACATATAGCTCGCGAGGTTTGTTCTTTCATTCTTTTAACGCCATCCTTTTCCATTTCAAAGAACTGTCATTCTCTCTAAGATAAAAATATTTTGTCGATGCAGTTCCTTCGAAAGATGGCTCAGCCATACGAAAAGACCGGCTCCACAACTGGTCGAAAAACACTCCTGTCGCAGGAAGATGTCGAAAAGCTGGGCAACAACGGCGCCCAGGAGATGCTGTATTAGCCCCAGAACTCTGTACATCTTTCCCCATCTTGTAGCTCTCGAATGTAAATATAAATCCACGCGAGAAGCTTCCTTTGCAGCTCCACAATTTTGACTGCGAATCCATGTCTTTTTTCTTCTTCCGTTGCTGTATGCTATAACTGTCTTTGCATATTCAACAGCGATTTAGAGTCCATATTATATTCAGTGTCTTTCTTCTTCTTCAGTTGCTGTACACCACCACGCTTGCCGCCAGGCGCCAGCATCTTCCCTCCCCTTGGCTTCTCTGCTATAGCCACGGCTGCGCTCCCGCGCCTCTGCTCTCTCGTCCAGTACTTTTACTATGAATTGGGTGTAATATTTGGCTTGATCAATCTCTGCTGTTGCCTGGCCTTCGGCGGCCTTCACCTGGCTGTTCTTGGCCTCCAATTCATGAATCTTCTTTCGCAGCAGCTGCTTCAGGGTACTCGCTTGTGTCCCCTAAGATCGACGCATTGTCCATGCGACCTGAGGACTATAAATCTCTCGTTCAGCTTCTCCCGCACTCGCCGCTCGACCATCACGTGGTTCGTGCTCAACTGGTCACTCAGCCGGCGGCTTCGCGAGAATAGGACGCTGAGCAAGCTGTGGAGGAGGAATTTGGATATGGTCCACCAGTTGGATTTTGGAGGATGACCCTCCATTTCCCATCCAATGTTCCATAAAAATGGGCCATTAAATTAAAGGTCGAGATTCATAAGAAAAAAGTAGTAGTGGAGAGTGAAGCCAACAATTGAAAAGCAGCTAACGAAAAATTGTTTTTGGGGTTCGCGGACTGAAAAGGAGCTGACACGAGAGAGTAGAGAATGCAAGTTCTGAGAAATGTTGAATATGACTTCTGTTTTGTATAAATATGTTTTGAGATCAGTACGAATATGTTTTGTGTTTAGTAAGAATATGATTTTTAATACGTGGTATATTATTTTGTCAAAAGTTGTGAAAATTACGAATATACAAATCACATATATGGAATATGTTTTTTTATTTAATGCAATATTTTTTTTTAAATACGAATATGTTTTTCTAATGTGTATTTTTGTTCAATACAAATATGTCTTTTGTTCAATACAAATATGATTTTTGTTCAAACAGAATATACGTATACAACTTGTAGATAATATATATAAGTTACATTTTGTTAAACATAAATGCCCACTTGTCAATTACTTTTTCAGGTCGTGGGTCCCATAATTCACTGTCTATTTTCCTAATAGATCTGAGCTTTTAATTTAAAAGGCAACATTTGTGGGCCGTTGGATAGAAATTGAGGACTATCCTCCAAAATCCAACTAGTGGACCATATCCTGGTTGGTGGAGGAGGTGGTGGGCCATCGACCGGAACACTCGAGCCAGCGGGGTTGGAGGATAGGTTCGGAAGTGTGTGTCTTCCTAAGAAAGCTATTTCATCGACTCCGACAATTGGAGTTTGACGGATCAATCAACTTTCATCATTAGTGATCTCCAAGAATAAACAAGTAAAGGCTAAGTCAACAACTCTCCAAGAATCTAGCCTTCAAATATGCCCCCTCCCATGTAGGGATGACAACAAAACCCGAACCCACGGGTACCCTACCTGACCCAACCCGGTCAACGCGAGTAAAACCCGCATTGACGGGTTTTGGGTCGGGTTCAGGTTTAAACCTGTACACTATTCACCGGGTTGGGTTTGGGTTTAAGGATACACGCCCACATTTATTTCATCGCCCTACTCTCCCCAAACCCTACCCTAATTCTAATTTCCCCCAATCTAACTCTCACTACAATTATTCCGTGTGATTTTATTTAGTGTAATTTTGATTTGTTTGAATTTTCTAGAATTGTGTTTTATGTATGGATAATTTGTATGGGGAAATTGATGTTTGAATGTTATTTTGATAGGAACGTGTTGTTGTATTTTTTTTACCACAAAAACCCATGGGTACCCATGAATCTGCGGATAGCCAGCGGGTTGGGTTGAGTTTGAGTTTTCCAAACCCAATGGATTTTACCCCAGTTTTTTTTTACGGATAAACCCATGGGTTTGGGTTTGGAAAAACCCGACCCATTGCCATCCCTACTCCCATGTGTTCACACCAATGGTTCCTTTCACACTTGTATTCCTTTCACACCATGGGAGATCTTCCTTCCTTATAGGTCGAATTCACTTCTCCTTCCTCCAAGCCCATCTTTACTTCATTCTGGTCCATAATTAGTAGCAATGTGATGGGCTTTCCTTGTAGAAAATCCACGTCCATCAAGAGTGATCTCATTTGATCCTCGTATCGTCGTACTCGGACCTTCATCTTTGGACCACGCGAATTATATATTCTGCCAATCAATTTCACATCAACAAACTCGTAGCCCTTTTCTTCCACCTTGAATGCTCCCAAAATCTCTTTAAACCTCTTAAATAATCCTTGACCCATGATCCATGTAGAGATCTAATTTGAGATCGAGTGACGTCATGTGGGGTGAGCGAGGTCGCATCGGTTGGGTTAAATCCGACTGACTAAGCGATTCCATTTGCCAAGTCAGCACTTAACGGACTCCATTAACGGAGACTAACGGAGAGTGACCAAACATGACATATTTTAGTAAACCCAGTGACCAAACTTGGAATTTACCCTATAACGGTTCAATCAAATGTGATACTTTTCATAACTTAGTTCACTTATCATTAAATTTAATTTGTTTATTATTACCTACAATATTCATCATCTCACAAATTTGTAATACGCAAAGATTTCATATGATAAGCAAATTTTGCATAATAGATGAATCAATTGTGAGAATTATCCGTAATTTTTTTTAATGAATTGGTGGGCTCTATTCATCAGAAGAGCTACTAACAACACACCATTCTATTTGGGTTTTCAGACTATGTAATTATCCATACTACAAAACTATACTGGTACTGAAAACTCTATGTAATCGACTCAAGAGACAAATCAATCCCCCCAAAATAGGCAAACCCTTTGAGAAGCAACAACACACTCAACCTCTAACTTTATACTCTTTAGTAAACTTTCAACATCCGTGCTTTTCCCTGCATATATTCTGCCGCACCTTTCCCTCCAGACCTGACTTATCCATGCCTGCCAAATTATTCTACCTGTCTCGGCTGCTTCATCTTATCCGTTGAAGTTTTGAACCGCCCAGACCCCAGTTCAATTCATTTTCCCAATTGTGCCCTGATACATGCTGTGACAACCTGTTAAATAAGTGTCCAAACAAGTACAATGCAAACACACAACTGGTGTACAAGTGTTCTCTGTTTTCCACATCAATTTTACCATAAACAACAATTCAAAGACCTTGCACACCTCCATTTCAGCATCCTTTCTTTTGTATTAATACTGCCCATTGTAATCAACCATGTAAGAACTCTATTTCTTGTTATTGCCTTACCCTTCCAGACCACTTTTGACCAAAATGAACTCGTTGTTGCCTTGGTCTCATGACATCCCATACTTGCTTGATGGAGTACTTCTTCATGTGATCTGTATTCCAAAACACCTGACCATCCCTCACAGAAAACAAATGTCTAACAGAAGCTCGAAGCTTAAGGATCTTCCTCCAATTCCAAGACCCAGACCTTGCACTTCTAGTATACTCCCATACTTCCCTACCTTTCAAATTGTATTTTTCAATCCAAGCAACCCAAATGGACCCCTATTTCATCAATATCAGCCATATATGTCTCACCATGCAAGCCATGTTCCAAGAGAGAAGATTTCTTAGCCCCAAACCTCCTTCCTTTTTGGGATAAGTAACTTTATTCCACACTACATTAGCTCGAAGCTTAACATCAGTTTTTACTCCTCAAACAAAATAACTATAGATCTTTTCAATTTCTTTAATCACCCCCTTAGGAAGCAAAAACATAGACATCCAAAATTGAGTGAGACTATGAAGAACTATCCCAACTAATTCAATTGTGCTTTGCATAAGAAAGTGATTCTGCTTGCCTGCTTCTGATTCTTGCAACAAGTTTCTCAGTTAAAGGCCTACAACCACTCTACCTAAGCTTCCCATATATGAGAGGAACTCCCAAGTATCTAACGGGGAAGGATCTATGTTGATATCCATAGCGAGCTGCGAGAATTACTGCTTCATCTCTATCCAACACACCAAAATAAATTTCACATTTCACAGGATTAGACTTTAGATAAGAAACTATTTGGAACCTATGAATTACCCTACACAACTCTTGGATACCATAATTCGAAGCATCGGTGAATACCAAAAGGTCAACAGCGAAATAACGATGAGTAAGTTTGAATGCCCCACACATTGGATGGTAAGGGAATATGTCCATAGCAGCCCAGTTTTCAAGAAGACAAGTGGAAATTTTTGGATTTTTTTTCCAGAAATAGCACTATTTTTTTTTTATACAAAAATAGCACTTGTAACATCTCGAACCTTTTCCCGACGAAGATATTGTCCGCTTTGGTTCTCGACCCGCACGGTTTTCGACTTGTAGTGCAATTCTAGGTGACTTCCCATAAGGTCATCCATCCTTGTTGTACTCCACACCGAGCACGTTTAACTTCGTAGTCTCACAAGAACTCTTCCATTTCACCCCAAAAAGCGTCTTTTCAGTTAAGGTCGGTTTCTTACTTATGAACCATGGATCTCTCCCGTGCTTTGCCGATGTGGGATTTGCCTAAAGTGTTACATACACCCCCTTGCGACTCAACGTCCTCGTTGAGGTTTGCCTCACCATCGTTCAAGAGGGACGCAGAGAGGCTCGGATACCACTTGTAACATCCCGAACCTTTTCTCGACGAAGATATTGTCCGCTTTGGGCCTCGACCCTCACGGATTTCGACTTGGGGTGCAATTCAAGGTGACTTCCTATAAGGTCACACATCTTTGTTGTACACCACACCGAGCACGTTTAACTTCGGAGTTCTTACAAGAATTCTTCCATTTCACCCCAAAATGCATCTTGTTAGTTAAGGTCGGTGTCTTACTTATAAACCATGGATCTCTCCCGTGCTTTGTCGTAAACAAATTCCAAAAATAGCACCATTCTTCGAAAACCGCTACTAGGGGAGGCGGTTTGTGGAAGATCCGCATGTTGAGGATGCAATTAAAATTCTGTGTGGGTACCGCCACTAGGATAGTCGGTTTAGTGGACGACCTAGCAGAAACCGCCTGTTGAGGGAGCGGTTCTAGGTCTTCAACCGAAACCATTCCTTCAACAAGCGGTTTGCCTTGTCGACACACAAATCGCACCCCCACCCTGCAGTTTGTGTGTCGTCCCCATTCCCCGACATACGACATGCCATGTAGGGGCATGCAAAAGTGGGGCTGCATGATAGATGAAAACCGCCCCCTCCCTCTGCGGTTTTCAATGATGATTTTGCCTATAAAAGGCAACCCTGGAAACTCAGCTCTTCACCCCTCTCCTTATTCTTCTTTAATTGTCTGTTGTGCACCCTACTTTTTTTAGAGTTTTTGCGATTAACGTTACTTTGTAAGTTTATTTTGTATTACTTTTTATTGTGATTTGTGATTTTATGGTATTAATTGAATTATGGTTTTATTGTATATGACATTCCAAAAGTTCACGCTTGGGTTACAGTGGAATGGTTACACGGAAGAGACCGGAAATGGGGTACGTTACGTCGGTGGTAATTTTCATAAAATGAAGGTCGCTACGAGACCGATGCGGTTTCTTTTTAACCCACCCCTTTGGCATGCGGTTTTTAACAAATGGTGCTATTTTTGGAATTTGTATGGGTTGGGTGCTATTTTTGTATTTTTTTTTAAATTTACAAGGTCTTGGAACTGTTTTTTTTTGGGAGGGGGTGGTCTAGGAAGCTGC